TTTAACAGAAACGGCGTCCTGGCGCATGTCATAGCCCTTCTTCTTGGCGTCTTCATTTGCCTGTTTGTACATTTTCTGTAAACACAGGAAAAAAATATGAAAAACATTCAAGCATCTTCTGAAAAATGGTGGTATATTATTAAGTATGTTGCTTCAAAAGCTATAACAACAACTTCACGTATTTTAAAAATGTCTGAGAAGGACTCACCAGACTGTAGTTGGATTTGTTTGCTTTGGCCAGTTGAACATCCATGGCATCAGGCATGACATGAACGCTTGTTTTGTCTTTCTCCCAGGCTTGAATGTAAGCTTGCTGTAATAATAATAATGAAAATAATAATAAACTTTATCTTTATAGCATCTTTCATACAATAAATGCAGCACAAATTGATTTGCATGAAGGGAAAATAGACTTAGAATGAACATAAAAACAGGGAAATTAAGACAACACATTTGATAAAGTAAAATAAAAATAACAAACAGAATTCATACAATGCATAACATGAGATGGAAAATAAAACCGACTGAATAATAATAATTTAAAAACCCATATTTGCAGCATGCACATATCTATCAATTAGCACTGCGCAGCATCAAAATGTCTCCATTCACTTATACTCTGTTCTTTTCTCTGGCTGTAATTAAAAGTTATTGTTTCGTATAGTTTCCATACAAAACAATATTTAGAAGATTTCATTGGCATTCATTCATAATTAAACCGATACTGACCTCAGATCAATATTCATTCCTGAATGAGATTTATTATGCTTAATCTAGTCGAGCAGAGAATGTTTTCAACAGAGCGGCTGGAACTTTGTCTCAGTTTTGTACACGTTGAGATTATATTGACTGAATTAGATCTATACTGTACAACAAGCCCCGAGGCAGCAATCACCACAGAAGGGTCATCCTGATATTTATTTTCTTTAAGCAGAGGCACACAACACGTTTGCCCTCTATCACAGTTGTTGTTTGCATTGATTGCTGAACTTTTTACTTCATGTGCAGGAGACAACACCAGTATTAACGGTTTAAACATCAGTGATAGTGAAGGTGTATCATCTTTTCATGCAGATGATGTGATTTTTTTTTTCGCAGAGCCACAGAAACTGGCATTTTCTTTTAACATTGTAGAACAATTTAGGATGAATTCTGACCCTTTCATTGTATACAGGAGAATCTTAAGTATTTTGGAAACTATAATTAAATAGCTTGCTTCAAGTAAATTACACGCATATATCAAACAATGTTAAATTATGTCGATAAGAGCAAAAATCTGTGTTCATTCTCTAAAATATCATAAAATGTATTTTTTAAACAGAAACAGTTACTCTATGCTTAAAAAAAGAGTTTTAAGTGTTCGCGAAATACCTTGTTCATAAACTGAGCGTTGGCCTTAGCCAACACCATGGGCATGTCTTCAGTGGTGATTTTGAATTTGTAGTTCCACGGGTGTTGACGATACTTTCTCTCATTTAGGGCCTGGCCTGCTTTCTTTGCCTTCTCAACATCCAGTGAACCTATAGGCACCC